CAGGGTGTATACATCTGTTTTCTTAAGGAACATTGGATTTCCACTTGCTTTAGATTTTTGCTTTTAATAATCTGCTCAGATCTCTGGGCAGTGTATGTATATATCCAGGTAATGAATATGTGCATGCATGTATCTCAAAGCTCCCTACCTTTCAATACTCGTGTATGTATCAAAAAGTAGAATGTCAAAAAGTAGGCTGGTATTGGAAAAATTTTTCATTGTCAAATAACTGCTTTATGTTATGCTAATCTTTTTCTATATATCTGCTAAATAAATTCTCTTCAAGGGAGGGAGTAAAGCTAAGTTTTCAATAAAATGCAACACTCAAATACTAAGCTAGATGCCCAGATTTTGAAAAAAGACTTGATGCCTAATACGGTTGTGAATTCTTGGTGACTTTTACTGTGTTTTAGGAAAACATATCCTGATTTAAGTGCATATGTAGAAAAAATTACTTTGAAGATCTAACCCACAAGTCAGTCTTTCTATGTTTTATTGGCATAAACTATGAAAGTGTTGCCATTGACATATGTTGATCACTTCATGTTTTCAGTTTAGGTAAACATTAGAAATACAAATATGTGCCTAGTCCTGATAGCAGCTGTCAATAGCAAAGAGATCTTGCCTGTTTGGGGAGACAGTGAGTTGCAAAATTATTTACTTCTATTTCTTCTGAAAGTGGAAAAGTGCTTTAAAAATGTACTCTGTCTGTTCTTGAGCTGCATGATTTGTTAAGTTCTTTTTTAAGAAACATGATTAAAAAGTGACGCCCAGCAAAATACTTAATAAGGCACATTTTAAACTCAGACACACCAGTGCTGTGGAAAGAAGTAAAATAGTCCCTCTAGTGTACTGCTGCTGTGAGCTTGCATAGGAATATCTGACGTGATTTACTGAGGAGCGTGGCTGCAGGAAATTACAAAATAACGTTTCAGCAAGGGATGTGAAAGTGCTTACGTAAACTGGAGAGTCTGACCCACAACGGTAAGTCAAGTGAAACAACAATAAATACCAAGCCAAAAAAAATCTGCTTGTTCGAGTAATTAGTGAAGTAGAAAGTTCCTGTGTAGTGCGAGACCATTGCTCTTGCCAGCTCTGCCCAAAACGTGAATGAGGAGCAGAGCCACTCGCTGGGGCACAGGCTGAGGTGTGCTTCCTCTTGCAGGGCCATAGATTTGAATTTCATGTCATGTTTTTGCATAAACTGGCTGTATACTCAATAAACTTGGATGTTCACATCTTCTTGAAGTGAGTGTGGCTTTGATGTGACTTCTAAAGAGTTGCTTAACCTCTGTCTGATGGCATTAGCGCAAAGGAGCTATATTGAGGTGGGTGCAGGTGGAGCTTCCTTTCATGCTTGAAAGTCTCTTGCTAACATCTCCCAATTTCAGTTTGGCTGCAGGAGAGTCATAGAGTTTACTGAGCTTTCCAGCGTGAAGGGATGTAGTCATTGCAGGATGTTTTGGAGTAAAAACTTGTTTTTATTTTTTTCTTCCATGTGTTGTAGCTAACCTGAAGATAAATACGACTCTTTACTCAGTATCTAGTTTTGGCTGCCTGTTCCTGGTAGCAGCGTGTGTGCAAAGGCCATGCAGTCCTTTGTACAGTTGTTTCTTGAAGAGCAGGGCCAGCCATGGAAGTCCTGTTGTTCTGGACTTAGTAGAAGCAAGGAGTGCACTGTTGCACTTAAGCTAAGATCCCTTTTAGCCTCACTCAAAGTACAGGAGCATCTGAGTCCTTGCTGTGGAAGAGAACTGGGTTAAATTTAGGGTTAAATGGGTAAGATGGATTAAAGGTCTGCTGAAAGGAAGAGAGCAAGGCAAAAAAAGCACATGGAAAGCATTAAATGAAATGTTACTGGACTTTCACATGTATGGTACACTGTAATTTTGGAGTTCAGAATTGCACTGTATTATAGCTTCCCTCACATCAACTGTATAGAGCTTCAATCTAGCGCTGTTCTAAAAAATGCCCGAGTCTTTCTTTGTCAGTTTGAAAATCAGACATTTTGCTGATTATGTTGATGAGTGTCTATTGAAACTCTGGTTGTTCTTCTGACAACTCAGCCCTTACACAACTGTGACCTTCCTCATGGACCTAGACATTTGGGAACTCTTAAGAGTTCCTGCAGTGGCTCAGAACCAAAGAACTGCATTTTCATGTGGAAGGAAAATCTCTCTCTGCCCCACTTCATGTTGGAGGCAAATACATTTACACGTATGTGATGTTGAATAGTGTGTTGACCAGAAGTGGTAGTTTCATGTATGATTTCTTGTGTAAGTATTCCTGACTTTTTCTTAGAATTCTTTAAGGAAAACACAACATCCAGAGCAAGACCCCACAGGAGAAACTGCTCTGTTTCTTGACAGAGTGCTGTTTTAAGCTGCGCTTTAACAGTCCATGGGCAAGCATTACCATTCATTTTGTGGAAGTAATGTCTCCAGTTATGCATTTTAATCCTAAATACATATAGGGGTGGTTAATGGTCTTCAGTTCTTAATTGTTTTGAAGTGGAAGAATAGTGATCTCTGCCCATTACCTTTGCCCTTTTGTGATGCCAGTGTGTACAGGCTTTATCAGGTACTTCTGCAGAACTGCAGTGTGTCTCTGAGGTACTGAGGCTGTTGTCGTGGTCACCATTTTCTTAGTGGATTATGCAGTGTTCAGTTTCTGATAGAAATCTACCCTTTGGCTTCCTAGAATGTTACTTTGACCTTCCTGCGGTGCCAGACCTTGATTCTAAGAGCAGTGAAAATTATTAGTAGTCTTCTGTTGTTTCTGGTCATATAGTTCCCTTCTCTCTCCTATTTTGTGTGTGTGTGTTCTCATAAACACTTTTCTGGCTTCCTCAGTGTGTGGTGTGTTTTGGTAGTTTTTTTTTTTTTTTTTTTTTTTTTTCCCCCCCCATTTTCTCTCCTTAAATGAAGGTGTCACATCGGTTCCTGAAAAAGTTTTTCTATTCCTCTTAATTTGTAAGTCTTTCTTTTGTTTTTGTGTTCATACTGATAGCTGTAAAATATAATTTGGTGCTATGTTTTGGGAATAACATTTGCTATTTATTTTCCTAAAATCAATATTTTTTTAATATAGATATCTTGTGTTATCTTGAAGCGATCATAATTAGCTGTGAAGAGTAAGCCATACTTCTACTGGGTTTGATTATGGTAGATAAGGGAGATTCCCTCTAAGGAAAAGGGTGGGCGTTGGCTGCAGTAGTTTGCAAGAGACTTTCTGTATGCTTGGAATTAACTCATTGAAACAGGAAAGGGTTATTTAGTTCACCAGACTTGCCCTCCTGTGTTTCAATAATCATTAAACCTCTTTTCCTCTGATTTTGCTGATCAATATTCACCCGTCTGTCAAGACAGATCACTTTGGCAGCTGTGGAATTCTTGATTAACTTCCCATAGTGTCTTGTCTCACGTGGCTTAGCAGTCCTTGCAGTCCTGCACTGGGATTCTTGCAGATGTGCAGAGGCAGGTTCTTGTCTGCTACAGAAACCAGAACTCCCCTGCAACAGCAAGGCTTTCTAAAGGTGTCTTTGTTCATTTTTGACCTTTTAACTAATGTGAAATAGTTTTTAATTAACTTAACGTTTTATTCAATTAACTTTTATTCACCATCTCCAAAAATTATTCCAGGCTGTATTGCAAAAGGGGAATTAATGTGACTGTACCTTTGATCATGTTCATAGCATATTTAGTTGTTTTTATTATTCTTTGGCGTTTCTATAAGGCAAAACAAGATTTTCTGTGGCATTATTTTTCACAGCAGCTTAAATGAACCTAAAATGTTCCTTTCATAGGAGTTGTATAATGTAGTTCATTCTGAATTTTGCTCATCTGCATATGAGACCTGATTAACTTTGGAGGCTTTGTAACTTCAGTTTAAGCTCTGTAGTTGATGATTATTCTCTCTGGTTTTTACTTTGTCATTCTCGTGTGTAAACATGTCATTATCCTTCCTTTGAGAGATGTACTTTTAACTGTTTTTTGGTCATGCTAGTCTTGTGATTAGAACGTCAAAAAGAAGCAATTTTAATTGTAGAGATTATTCTCAAGTGCCCATGAAATGTATAATTGCTATATTGAATTTTGATACTACAGATAAAAACATTCTTTGGAAATTTAACTTCAGTTTAATATGGATTTTAAGCTGTAAAGACTGAACCTGAAACTTCTGGGAAGTTCAGGGCAACCTTCTCATTGGAAGCTGAGAAATTCAGATAATATGTCATTTTAACTCAGAGGACATGTGAGGCAGAGTACAAGTTGGTCTTGTATTATTAGAGCTGACAGTGGGATAACTCCATGTGTGTGACCATATGTACATGTATACTACCCTCCGTAAAGCTCTCCCTCTCTTATCGCCTAACCTTGGGAGGCATTTTCTTAGAATAAGATCTTCTAGACTGCTGCCATCTTCTAAAAATAAAGCATATGGGCTCGAAGGTGCAGCTTCTTTTCCTGTTTGGCCACTAAGAGATCACCTTTCCTTTGCAAGCTGGTCCCGAAAAGGGGAATTTCTGATGATTTGGTATTTGGCTCCCTCTTGTGGGAAGTGTTGGAAAAGCGCAAATTAATACCTTCAAATTTTCTTTCTGGAACTACAATTAAAAAAAATATTGGAGCAGTCTGTAGGATAAGCCTGATTACAACTGCACCCAGGCCCAACTGCAAATTTAGTGTCCAACTTGTGACATGTGTGACCTGGTTTTAAATCAAGTTAAATTGGCTTTTACTAGTGCTAAAGCTTGTAAATAAGAGATTTCCCTTTTCCTCTCTTTGTGCTCCCATCACATCCCCCAGTAAGAAAGTGCTTAAGACCAGCTCATGAGAAATCGGTGGAAGTTCAGTGCATTCAGTATTTGGCACAACTGATTCTGTGAATGTTTATATTGTTCGCTATGAAATGGTGTTGCTGATAAATAAACAATAGAGAACAAAATGTTTTATTGCTTCTATTCTACAACTAATAATGGTTTCTGTTTCCTTCTTCAGGTGATAGAAACACTTTCAAAACTTTCTCGCACTCCTATTGCAATAGGCACAGGAATAAGGTACGTTATCGTCCTAGTGAATGGTGGGAATAATGCCTCTTGCATGGTGCTCCTTGGAAATGTTGTGAGAGTCAGTATAGACAGACACGGAGCTTTTTGACAGGAGGTTGGATGATCAGGCAAAAGAAATCTGTCTCCCGGTTTATCTGGAGATGGATGATACATGAATGTTGCAGTTGTTGTCCTGCAAATGTCCCGTTCGGCCAAGGTAGCACAGAGGCAACCCCAGCCTCTGGGCCAAATGAGCACAGACACCAATGTGGTGGATGGCAAATGACGTTTATTGATGTGCGACACAGCATTATATAGCGAGGGTTCGCAACGTCACTTCCGCCTGCTTACATCACAGGCTAAATGCTATTGGCTACTAGGAGAGAGGGGTTTTGTCTTTCCGTACAGCACGATATCTTCCGGTCGCCAGACCCTAACTACCACACATGAAACCAAGTGTTCATCACAGGCCTGTGAGGCTGTGTTTTGGTAAATGCTGAGGCCTGGGGCAGGTGAAGTTTCAGTAGAAATCCCAGACCTTTCCTCTTTAATGGGAGCTGGGAATAACAGTGCATCTGAAAGAAGTGCTCTGGAAATTCCCGTCTTCTTTCATGCGCCAACTTGACTGAGTGGGGGCTGGTCAACAGTTGTATCAAGGGAATTTTTGAGCTGGGGCTTGTTGTTGTGGACTGCTCAGTGATCTGGGGCAGTTTCCCTTCTAAGCCCTTTAAATGCTTCCCACTTCATTAAGAGAACAGGCCATCATGTAGGGAAGAAGAAAATTAAGAGACATGGAGGCATCCCAGTTCCCAGTGTTGCTGAGTAAGCACTTCTCTGGTTGTAAACCAGATTGCCCAGTGGTCACCTAACTAAGGCTCTGGACCTCTGAGTTGCTCCAAAGGGTATCTTCTAGTACACTTGCTGAAGTGCCTTAACTACTTTTACTTCTCATGCTGAAACCTAGGGTGAACAAATGAACAGTTAGTACGAACTTGTGCGGTAGTTACGACTTATGGATTGTAAGTCCAGCTGTGCAGTGCTGATCTATGTGAAGACAAATGTTTTTTCTTTCTTTCTCCCTTCTAAAAATCAACAAAACTGTTGAGTTTGTGAGATTCTAATTTTCAAAAAGAAACCAAAAAACCCAAACCAAACCTAACCTCATGAACTATAATTGTGGGCTGTGAGAGAAGATGAAAGACTTCATATTTTGGTATTCTCCATCTTTTTGAATGGTTTGATTCAGCAGTCATGTGATTTGATGTTTATAAAACAGACAAAATTCCCCAGCCAGTCCTGTAATCCATGTTCTGTGCTAAAAAGAGTAGTTAATGTTCTCAGTTGAAAAACTAACAATGATGTGTTAGTGGTGATCTATAATCACCCCGTCCTGTAGGGTTTTTTATTATATTAAGTATCAGTTCATATCTATGTCCAAATATAACTATACTGTTCATCAGAGAAAGAGATCCTACAAACCCATTAATGTATAGTAATCTGTGAAAATTTTAGAAACCAAACAAAAACCTACCATGTGACTAGACTACTGCTGTCCATAATTAATGTTATTTTTCTTTCTGTAGGCCATTCCCTACAGAAGAAAGTGTTGATGATGAAGATATCTACAAAGGTCTTCCTGATTTAATAGAGTATGTTGTAAATCTTTAGATAAATGCAAGATTTTACTTTCAGTTGTATGCTGTTATTTTTATGATGTTATAGAATGCATAGCTTTAATGAGGACATGATATTTATTTGATTTAAAAAGATTTTGTTAGCCACCATGCTGACCAGGAAGAATTAATTATGAACGTTTATCTAAATAATTGTAGTACTTGTATATATGTAAGGAAGCATGTTTAATAGAGGACACTGGTAGCAAAGTAATTTGTGAATGTGTTTAAATTATCTGTCTGTACTATAAGAATACTTTCATAGAATTACAATTGGAAGGAAATCGTCTTGAACTTGCAAAGAAAATGCACCTTGCAAAGAAAATGCTTACTTGTACTTGAGGTACAAGTAAGATAGACATGAACATACTGTATAGTATTGAATGGTAGAATGCAGCTTTGTTTGGCAGATTGGTGGAGTAAACGCATCTGGGCACAAAAAATTGTAAGGAAGAACTACTGTATCCTATAGCTAGGATCTCTCAAGATCCATTAGAAATCATGTTGGACAAGAGCTAGGATCAGAGCTCACTGTCTCAAAGCACAAAGTTCACCAGTGCTCACCTCGCCAGTGCCCATCTGGCTCCATCTTGGCTCTAGCCACGCTGTGTGTTACTTGTTGCGATGTGGTGAAGTAGCTGCTGTCCACCCTGTGGGTTTGTTTCTTTTCTATGTATAAAGAAAGGAAATCCCACTGTGACTGACATCACTCAATCTACCAGCTTCCATGCACAGCTCCTCCTTGTCTCCTGCAGCTGGCTATCTGTCTCATAGGTAGCTACTTTTCACTCTGTGTAAGATGAATGCACAGAAGGAAGGAGTTGCAGTAGGGCCAAGTGGGCTAGAGGTAACATCCTAATCTCTTGGATATAGTCACATCAGCACTGTTTGAAAATAGTGTTTCTATCAGTTCTTAAATAAGTATACCTATTTATGGTATGGTACTAGTTTTCATTTAAAAAAAAGTTAACAAATCATACCAAAGAAATTAAGACTTGTAGCTCTTCTTTTGCATCAAATTACGAGTCTTATTCACTGAAATTTGATGGTTACATGCTGTTTCAATTGTGGAGGGAGCAATTCAAGAAGTACTCTCTCCATAAGAAACAAAAGTGCCAGTGAATGATGCAAATGGCCCATGTTTTTTAGTTTCTCTTCATTAGTAAGTGTATTTACTAAAATTAATTGTCCCTGAGTTTCTATCCTTACTCTGCATTTTTGCCAGCTTTTGTTCCCTGGAGCATAGATGGTAGAATGGAGTGTGTCTGTGCTGCATCTGACACAGCTATTAGTGTGTGTGAGTGCTAGCACACCAACATTGCTGGTGCAAGCTGAAATGGTAGACTAACCTGGAGCACCTGAGCTTTGTAGCTCTCCAGGGTCATGGTATCTGTTGGAAAAGGAAGGGATAGAAACAATTTCTGTGTTCTGTTGAATCTCCCAAATATATATTTTTAAAATCATTCCATGTATTGAAACTTTTAATGCTTGTTTACTTTGTCCTTCTGATGTCCTCCATTTAAAAAAACAAACAAAACCACCAACCACCCCCCCCCCCCCCCCCAAAACCCCCCTCCCTCAACCATATTTAATGAGAAATAAAAAATTCATTTGGTTTCTTTATATATCCCTGACTACAGACAGTGATCTTTGTCTGGTGTTTCCAAGTAGTCCATGTGGCAGCTAGCATGTGTTGGTAGCAATTCTAATTCATTTTGATTTATTTGAAAGTATTAGTCTCCGCCAGTAGAGCTTCTGATGTCCTCTTCTTGAGTACTAATGATCCATTTAACAGAAATAATTGTCCTTCCTAGTTCTAGTGGACTGATCCTCAGTTTGTTTTTTTTGCTCTGAAGGGTTTCAGTGTTGTCTTCCAACACTAAAAATCTGAAAAGTTTCAGCACATCTGATCAAGTTGTTATATTGTTATGACTGGACTATGTGCAATTTCTTTTGTAGACATACCCTAAGAAATGTGGGTGAAGGGTATTATGGGCTTGATACAGTCCTAGTGCAAAGTAGACAAAACCTCCAGCAGGACTGACTCTAATGAAGCTGAATTAGCTTAGGGTAGAGTTGAGCATTGACTTTATGCTGAGGTATTTGTGTAGTTTGGGTAAGAGGAGGACACTTCTTTTGTATACTCTGTTTTGTTGAACTATCTGATTTTTCAGTTTGAAAGGCTGGTTTTTTTCATTTTTGGGTAGCTGAAGGTTGCTGTGAGGTGATCAAGATGCTGGCTTTTGGTGTGGATGTCCAGACTCTCAGCTTCTGGCTCTACAGTCTCTAGTCTATTTTACCCCAGATAATGCTTTCTTTGTGCAGGAATGAGACCGGTACCAGTGCCTTGTGTACCAGTGTCTTGCATCCCAGTACAGTGGGATGCTGGGCAATAAGGAGAGGCAGCTTCTCTTCACTGAATGCAGTGAGAAAAGGGATGAAGAGAAGAGAGTGGCTGGACAGTACCTTGTGACAAAACTGTCCCAACAAGTTGCTTTTGGTGCCTGGTTTATTTCCTGTGTGGTTCTAAATTAATGCAGTCTTCAGTGTTGCTTTGGTTTTGTACAATCGTATTTTAAATGTGTTTAGGAAAGAAAGTTAATGGACCTAATTTCCCTTAATGAGTTTTTTCATTAGAGAGTTGTATTAATTAATCTGTTTGTTACTGTAGAAATCTTTTCCTATGAGGATTGGTCCCTTGTAGAGCTGATGGTATTTTGCCTGTGCTGGACAGCTTTTTTTTTTTTATCTTTTCCTTTCAGTGAAACTGGTGTTGATGAAGATGAGGATTTGTATGATTGCGTCTATGGAGAAGATGAAGGAGGGGAGGTTTATGAAGACCTAATGAAAGATGAAGCAGCACAGCAACCTGTATGTTTTCCAATTCCTAGCTATTTTTGAACAATAGCAGTTATATTTTTGAGTTAATATTTGTGAAATTATCTCATAATAGCTAGTTTCACTGAAACTTCACTCATGCTCAGTTGTATCTGGAGCTGTCATGTGCAGTGCATCATCTCCTGTGTAGGGCTTAGCTGGCTGGTAATTTTTTGAAAGGAATGTAATTTTAAAATCAAACACAATAATTAATTATTTTCTTAAGTTTGTCAGTTATGGATACTAAGTTTTACCAGCTATTGTAAAAGGAATTAAATTAACTGTTTACTTCAAAGTGTCCTACTTACAAAATTAAGTTATAATATAATTGTAACTATAGTAACAGTGAAACACTGTTGTTTCAGCCATAATTTGGACAACTAATCTAACAAGGAAAACAATTGTTTCATACCAATTGAATTCCTGCTTATTTAGCTGTGTAGTTTTTGTTGATCATTAAGTTGGTCTTACTGAGAGTGGGAAAAGTAGCTTATTTACTTTATCATAAAAAGGTACCATGGTCAGTTTTCAGAACTGTCTTGAAAAAAATCTAAACTTAGGCAATAAAATTTACTTGCTAATTGGGAACAACCCTAATGTACTTGTCTGCCCTTCCTCAGAGATGTGCTTTCTGATATGGAAAATGTTAGTCTGTGGCCATGACAGGATATGTTTTTTTAGGACAGTTGTTTTCTTCTATATTGATGTGAGGCTATGTTATGCTTCCTGTCATCTTAAGTTGGAAATCTTGAGTTGGAAACTTGCCTCTACTTTTCCCTATTGCTTTTTTAGTAATATATTTACATGTAGAAGTGAGAAATTTCAAAAAATCTCCTAAAGTTTAGGTTATTTAATGAAAGCCAAATAAAATAGCATGTTGAAGAAACACCATTTTATATCTAATGAAATCATTCATCTGCAGGATGTTTTAGAAAAGTGTTTGAATTATAGGAAATCTTTAACTGTGATATTGTTTTGATTTTTTTATTTTATACAGAAACTCAAAATACTTTAACTCTTGGGTTTCACATAATGAGTGTGGGTGGCTTCTTTTAATTCAACTGTAATGGTAATCTCTAACAGTTGGTAGTGTGCAAACTTTCTCTGATTCTTTCTTTCCTGTTGCTATATTAATCACTTCCTAGAAACATGGATATGCAAGAGTGACATTTGCAATCAGAACTCTCATGTTCTAATTTTAGTTACATCTTAGCCTAGACATTTGAGATTGAACAGACTTATATTTGTTTCTTATAGAAAAGAAATGAAAGTTGAAAACATGGTACAGCAAAATATTTTTTCCACAACATATAATGAATGGAGACAGTGCAGTTGTTTTGCTGGGACAGCTTTCTTGATTGTGGTAATTGTTTCTGGTTTGTGATAATTTCCTCTCAGATTTAGAAATATGCTGCATGACGATTTGTGCGGTTCTTTAATTTGAATCCTATGTGAGAAATCCTTGCATATGAAAACACTAGCATAGGACGATCTTCAAGTAGATTTTTTTAGAAGAACCCAATACTTTTTAGAGTCTTCAGTAGCACTAAAAATGCTTTGCATCTCCCTCATCCTTGATTTATCATCATTATATTGTGAAGTAAACGGTTCTGCTAAACTTTCTCTAGCAGTAGCTGACCTTCAAAGGCAATTTTTCTCACTTCTACTGGTATTTGTACATTAGTTCTTATTTCCGCTCTTCTTTAGTTTATTGCACTCAAATTCTAGAAGTTTGTGATACCAATAGAACTCTGATATCTTTATTTCTGCCAAAAGTGCCTATGTGAATGATCCATTTGGGTTAGGTGAGCACAAAACTGAAATGAATGGTTTTAAGCAGAATCCCAGGATTTTGTTTGCATTGCTCATAGGAAAGTTGGTGAACAGCAAACCCCTACATTTTTCAAATGGATTTAAACTCCTATTGGGTACAACAACTTCTGTATTGCTGCAAATACTACAAGCAATTTGAGCGGTATTGAGCTCACAAAGGTAAAGGTGAAAAATAACTAAAAGCCTGAATAATGTAAAATTATAGTACTTTATTGAAATTAACTAAATATGGTTAACTGTGACAGTGCCTGCTTCTCCCTGCCAAAGAATTTAGGAATAAATGATAGATTTTGAGATGAGGCTGATCATCAGATGATGCTCACAAAGTATGTTTCTACTGATAATGACAGACTATGTTTTTCCAAAATGGTTACTTCTGTCTACAGCTGATAAGGGTGGCATTTTAATGTTCGTTATGGGAAAATAAATAACTGCACCAATTGGGTTTTAAAGAGCAATTTCTGAACTAACTTAGCAGCTGGTCAATGAGAGTGAGAAGCCATGCTCCAGTTGCAGGAGCTGCTTGTATAGTCATATGGAGACAAAGAGAGAGGAGGGTAACAGAAATATGTTAAAATAGCAAATAGAAGTGTGAACAGTGATGCCTGTATGACTTGTAACTTGGTATCTAGTTTAGGTGGTAGGAATACATTTCCCATTCTTCTATAGGTGGCCAAGCAATATCATAGGAGCTGTATGTGGTTCATGGACAGTTTAAGTGCAGCTTGCTGTTTGCTGTGGTATGCTTAGCAGGTGTGTCAAGTAGACAGATAGCAGAGAGAGGGAGTAGAAGGAGTCTTACTTAGCTCTTGGACATACTAAGAGCTAATTGTTAAAATTTCAGTCTAGAAGCCTTGTTATTCCTAGAGGAGGAAAGTCTTTTGTTCAAAAACTGTAAGTCATCTTCCTAATGGAAAGAACTGTAGTACTAAATTTGAAGTCCTAACTTCCCTGGTGTTTGAGTAACATCTAGTCATCAGGTCTGTTACATGCAGTATGTGGATTCCCTGCACTGGGTGAAAAAAAGTTAAGATACGGTCAGGGATATTCCAAAGGATGCCTTGAAGAGATGTTACAGACTGATAAATAGGCTTCAGAAAGGATGTGATAGTAGTGTTTTTTATTAAGCCACTGCTTATTTTTGTTTTTGGAAAAATGTTTTGGATCAGTTACTGCTTTTAATTGTAAGATCCTATCCAGTTACTGTGTCAGGTCTCCAAGCTGACCTATATGCCTCCAGATGTTTTAAGTCTTGCTTGTCAATGCTTCCATACCTTCTTCCAGGTATTTACTTTTATTTGAAATCAGATTTGCAAGTTATTGAAGCTGTAATGCTGTGAATCTGATCTTCAGTAAGAAAGCTCATAAACTATTTTTATAGAGTCCTGTACTGGTAATTACTTCAATTTCCTGTGAGTCTGGTGATGTACATGGAAAAATCCCAGGTTCTTATTGAAGACACAGACGTACATATGCAAGAGCTGAACTTAGAGGTCACTGCACCTCCCAATTTGAGGACATACTCGTGTTGTGTCTGAAGAGAAAGCCACTCTCGAGAACTAAAAGGGGAAAAACTGTAAATAAGTGCAGGGATTAGACTGAATCTAAAATTTATAGCAATGCAAAGTTACTTATATGATTTAGCCCCATTAAGTTTAATGGAATTATTAACTGCTGAGTATTTTAAATAAGATTTCTCAGTGTGGATGTAAATTAAATGTGACCTTGTATTTCAGCTTTGAAAGTATGTGCAGAGAGTTCAGTGTTTTATGTCTAAACATTAACTTTTCATAATATTTCTTTGATGCTGAATTTTAGTGAAACTCTTAAAGTCATCGGCTAATTGAGCATTAAAATATTCTTGGTTATTGCTATCATCTTTGGAGGCTGCAGTACTCAGAAAATTTCAGGAAGCAGTTATCCTAATTGCTTAATTCTAAACAAATAAATACATTTGTTATCCATTAGATGCCTATTAATGACTTGAAATTGACTTCTTTGTATTTGCAGAAATATACTGAAAATGATGTAAGAAGCTGTTGTCTTGCTGAAATAAAGCAAACTGAAGAGAAATACACTGAAACTTTGGAATCAATAGAGAAAGTAAGATACTACTTATAGAATTGTAACATATTTTTATAAGTCTAGAAAATATAATGATATTGTCGATGTATATATACTTTTTTCCTTGCAGTTTTTCATGGTGCCATTGAAAAGGTTTCTGTCAGCATCAGAGTTTGATACTGTTTTCATCAACATTCCTGTAAGTAGTTGTGTATTTAATGAACAGATATAAGGTTCATAGCTGTGTTGTATGTTCCTGCACAAAACGATTATTTGAAATATGGTGCACAATGCATTTATGTAGATATTAGGGTACCTGATAGAAAAGGATGTGCACACTATTTCATTTTTTTTCTGCTTGAGGGAAGAGGATAAGAGAATAATAGTATTATCATGTCAGATAGTGAGTGGTTATAAACTGGAGTATCTTTGACCCTTAAAAGCTAATAATTTATAGAAGATGGGTTATCTTCTAATATATACTGGTATTTTAGTGATGATACAAAGTTTTAACTGTTAAGTTTTCTACCACTGTATGCTTAGTGGTTCTTTCATGGGGATTTCTATAGCTACTCTGCAAATCCTTGTATCTTTGGGCATATTCCACAGGGTCTCAGGACTGTAGGAAGTGGTGGTGTGGATTTTTTTTATTCTGTGGGAACCTGGCTGTAGGAATATTTTAGTTGTTGTTCCAGCACCATCCTGACAGAAGCTAAATTACAACAGTTATGACACTGATGAATTACAGGATGATATCTGCCACCTTGCCATATTTGTCCTGCTATTAAATCTCAATTGCTGTAACTTTCTTCTCTTTGAATATTAGTCCTAAATACTGCCAGAGATATCAGTAACCTACTTGCTGTCTGGAAGTATGTCAGTTGCCCATAGAGATCTATTATCTTTTGAAAACAAATTTATATTCTGGCATACATTAATGTTTCTTATTTATTGCAAAGAAGCCCTGATATGCCCTACCGAAGTTACTGTAAATTTCTTTCCTAAGGCTCTGTGTGCCCGAGCACGTTGAGTTATGTGCATTAAAAGGCGTAAAGCCAGCCAACAAGGAACACTGCAGAGCAGTAGAAAAAGGGCTTACGTGGTGCAAGCAGAAACTGAGAGCTCAGCCTACTCACTACTTGTTAAAGAAATGTAAGAGCATCAGATAAGAGGAATAAAAAGAACAAAACCTATTTATTTGAAACTAGGAAGACATGTAGTAAACTGTTATACTTAGGTTGTTTAACTTTTCATTATGAGCATTCAGTATTCTGCTGTTCCAAGATGGTGCTTATTTCTGACTCCAGTAACATTTCATAGGCGTCCAAAAACATTAGAAGAAATATAGGGCTTGCGTTAGCCCAATATATGTGCAAACACTTTGTCTGCTCAGACCTTGTCTCTGCGGCAGTTCCTCAAAGCTGGAGGGCAGTGGAAGCTCGCTTTAAACTAAAAATAGCTGTTACACAGAGCTCTACAGGAAACTGTGATGTGGAGAGCAAGTGCTGTGTTCTCAGAACAGGATGGATTTGTCCCTGTTAAAAGACTGTGGTGAAGGACCAGTGCTTTAGGGTGATGCTATATTTTATGTAGACTCTGAAAGATGCTTCTTGGACAAAATCATCTGCTGAAGCCAAAATATATTTTTTTTTAGAGAAAAAATACCCCAACAACCCCAAACCACTCACCAGTCTATGGAATGCCTTTCATTAGGGCTCAAATTTCAAAGTTCTGTCCTATGAAGTGTATATATGGCTCTATATTTGTGTATCTGTGTACGTATATGTCTATGTGTATATGTACACATATATATGCATTTGTATGTACGCCTGTGTATATACATGTGCACACACAGGTGCATTTGTATATACAACTATGCATGTATTTGAATTACAGCATGTGCATGGACAGACAGAGGGAAAGAAAAATGGAAGTGTATGTAACAGATACCGAAGTACTGGAACTTCCATTAACTTCTAATGATGTTAACATCAGTTTAATTTAAAACTTGACTTTGAATTGGAGACAGAAGCTCAAAAAGACATTTTGTCCCCTTAACATTAAGCTGTTTTTCAGGTTGTTGCTTAGTTGTGTCCCTGTGCACTACTGGGAAAATATGCTCCTGTAATATGTTAATCAAGAAGCATTTCTATAGTAATGTCTTTGTCTGCTGCACTTACAATTCTGAGGATATGGCCATACAATTGGTAGCAAACTGAATTTGATCTGTTTTAAGCTTTTGCTCTCTCACCTGCAATATGATGATTGACCTTGTGCATACTCTTAACTTTCATCAGTGTGAAGTGAAATGTTTTTACTTTGTTCACAACTCAATATTGCATATTATTTTGTAGTGTTTAATTTACTTCATTAAACCATCTTCAATGGCTTTTTTTAAACAGTCATCTGTTTTTCATTGCAGTGGTCTGTACACTGCTTACAGTCAGTTATCCTGATTTTAAAACTTTTTAACCTGTTTTGACTTAATTTCTTGTGAATCTCTGACAGTATCTGTACAATATTAAGGCTGGTGTAATCTCCTGTAGTTGCTTACAGATTTTTGTATAATAGTGAAAAAGTAAGGTGAGTTACTAATATACTCAGCGAGCAAATCTATCTGCAATATTCTTGCCTTTCTCTCAGCCATTAGTTGCCTGCTGTATTGAGAAACTCATTATGATTGCAGTTAACTTAGCACTAGAACATCACTAATTGACCAATGTAATGTACAAAACTAATTTTTCACAGCTCAGGGACATGAATCATTACTTTATCTTGTCACTAAAGCATTTACTTGACTTGCTTAATTTTAAAATTATCATTGTAAAATGAAGATGAATTAACAGTGCACGTTCGAAGTTAGAATGAATTAGTCTCTAATAGGTAGTTCTTGAAGTTGATTTTTTTTCTTGTTGCACTGTATGGAAGATGTGTCAAACCTTGAAATTATGTTCTACTCTCAAATGATCTGTTTGCCAATTTATTGAAATTAATGGATCTAACATGAAATAATTTATTTTTATATTCAAAGCTTTAAATCATGCTGTTTTTAAAAACCTTTCCCCTTCATTACCATTTTTAAGGATCTGGTGAAAATTCACAGGAATCTAACACAGGACATCAATGATTCTGTTGTTAACAAAAATGATCAGAACCTATATCAAATTTTTATTAACTACAAAGAAAGGTAAGGTTTATGCACTCTTACTAATTGTGATAATCTATGCTCAATTTGGTGAAGTGTTTTACCATATTTTTGTTTGAGTATTTCTGAAACAGGATTGAATTCTGTATCGGTATACTTATTAAGCTAGTACTTGGTGTTTTGAACCGGGAAGTAAAAATGTAACCTATTACTATATGAGCTTCCCCTCTTCTTACCTCCAGTTTTGGCAATATTGTTTCACGGAGAGGTAACACCTATATTTTGAACAAAACTGAAATGGTTTTGCACAGCATTTTTTTTCATGCAAATAATCCCAGGTATTTTATAGCATGTATCTGTATTGTTTAACAGATAAAATGTTACAAAAGGGGGAAGAAGGGGGCAAAATAAGGCAAGGATATATATTAAGGCTATTACAGGTTAAAGAAAACAGAAAAGGTCATAACTTGAAAGAAGTGAAAGCAGGTGCAAAAGAGAAGAGAGACGAGACTAGGGACTTAACCCTACCCTGCAGTCAAAGGTGTGACAGTAAAGCAAACATGCTCTAACTTCAACCTGTGAAAAACAGCCAAGCTGATAACAGGATAGCTGTGGCAGCATGCCATGCCCTGTAGGCTAATTGCCAATTTTTTTACCCACCTTTTCAGATTGTTTTTCTGCCGGCACTGAACAGTTGTTGGATTGTATATATGAGCTTATATGCCTGTGGTATTTAGCTGAAAAACACTTGTACTATGGGCTACAGTGCTGACCTGCCTTGGAGTAACCCTTGGGTTATGGTTAAAAATGAGTTCCTTCTGGGACTGGAGTGGGAAAGACCTGTGGGAGCTAATTGGATTTGCTTGAGGGTGATGAGGAAGGAGGATTGTTGCAGTAATAACAGGCTTATGAGAAATTGGGCAGCAGCATCTGGAAAATGTTAAAACAAGAGGGTTGTTTTCTGAGGGACGATGGTGTCCCAGGCTGCCCATAAACATTCTTGCCTTCAGAGACTCTCTGTCTCAGCTTTTAGGTTGGAGCAGAACATATTTATTTCCCAGGCTGTTAGACTTTCTGCTGCTGTAGGAGGGAATTAGGGGATGAGAAGTTGCCCTGGAAAATGCTTATCTTTCAAAAGCATTTCCGAGATGTGTGCTAAAAGGAGAACAAATGCCACTGAGAAGAAACCTTGAGTTTATATTATACAAAAAAAAAGCCCAGATGGAAGTAGACTCAGTGTCTTAACCATGTAGTGATTAAAAGTAATCAGAAGTAGTAAGTGTTAAATCAATACTTCAATCATCACTTCAATTGTGAAAAAATAATTTTAAAACCAGATAAAAAGTAGGTGAGAAAAAAAAGAAATTTAGGAGACCCCAATGGAAAGCTCATGGGAACCCCCAAAAAAGGTAATTGAGACATGCAGAAAGAATCACCTCAAGTAATATATGAAAAGGTGAAAGGAAACAGCTCTCTCTGCAATGGGACTAGCAGAAAGAAGCACTCCAAACAAGGTCAAGAAACTCCTGTCATAAAACCAAGCTCCTTCAAGAAGCATTGCTACCCTTGACAGCTACTGAAAATTTCTTGAGTTTTCACACACTATTATTCTGATCTGAGAGCTCACAGGATATACTGGTAGAAACTGTTGGAGGTGAATCAGTTTGGGTAACCTACAGGTTCTTTAAAGGATAGATGTAATTAATCCTGTTAAGCCTGTGTTACAGAATTTATCATTACAACCTTGGAAATCTACAGTGTTGTAAATACTACAGACTATTAAGCAGCAGATAAGCTGCTTTTTAATGATCCTGTATTTGTCAGAACATATACATGGCAATATTAAAGGAAATTGCAATGATTTTACTGCTTTTTGAAGGTAGCTCAAATTTGTATTCTTCTGAATATTGTTTCTATTTATGCTGCCCATTTAAGTTTGTGGCTAAATCTCATCCTTGCTTATTTAGGCGCTGCTCCTTTTGAAAGGAGGTTTGTTAACAATTTATTAATGAAAAATCATCAAGGATTGTTTTCAAATAAGCAAATGTTCCTTTTATTCTTTCTCTTGCTTTGATTTAGATTGGTTATTTATGGCCAGTACTGCAGTCAAGTGGAGATAGCAATATCGTGCTTAGACAACATCTCTAAGACAAAAGAAGATGTTAAGTTGAAGTTAGAGGTATCAGTATTTTTTATTGTGTGTGTGTAAATATATATATATAAAACCCACTTGTTTCTATGAATATGCCCTGCTTTCATCCAAGTCAAAAATTTCATGACGAAACAGTGACTGGACTCACAGGTGAATGTATTTTTCTTCATTTCATTTTTTTGGAGCCTCTAATCAAGTGAATATGTGAGCTGTTGCAGTACACATTCTGGCACTAGCGTGAATGGAGTTTTGCCCTAACATCAGTAGGGTTAGGATTATTCTGGAAGTGATAATCAGTGATACCCTTCTGTTTATTGTGACATCTCAGCCAAGAACACAGAAGTGCAGAATCGCTCAGGAAGGACCTCTAGGCTCAATAAGCCCTGGTGCCACAGCCTCACAGGGCTTGTTATGTGCCATGACCCCTGTGTCATTTCCAGCAGAGCTGCTCCCTAGCTGTTCAGCCCTTGGGGTTAGTGTGTCCCTGGTTAGTGCGTACCAGGTGAAGAACTTTGCCTTTGTCCTTGTTGCCTTTATGTGAGGTTTCTGTTGGGGATGCCCTGAAGAGTGTCATCTGCACCTCCAATGTGGTGTTGTTTGCAGACTTGCTGTGGGTGTCCTCTGTCTTTTCCTGCAGATTGTTGCTAAAGATATTAAATGGAAGGGGTCCATGGACAGACCCCTGAGGAGCTCTACTTGCAACTGTCCCTCAGGTAGTGTAGGAAACTTTAGTCACTGCTCTTTTTGAGCCTCATTATCTAGCTAGTTTTTCATATACATAGTTAATTCATCTAGAGCATAACTTCCCAACCTAGATATCAGGGTGATGTGGGAGATGGTATTAAAAGTCTTGGAAAAGTCAAGGTGGACTCTCTCCACCCATTCACAGATCTAGCTGTTTCATTGTGGAAAGCAGTCAAGTGGGTCAAGCATTCATTTACCTGTGGTAAATCCATGCTGGATAGTCCCAGTCACCTTCTTCATGTGCCCAGAAATTGCTTCCAAGAAGGCTTGCTCCATAATTTTTGCAGTGGCTGAAGTGAGACTGACTGGCCTGTGGTTTCCAAGATTATCTTTTGCTTTTTTAGGGATAGATGTAATATCTGCTGCCTTCACTGTTCTTATAGGCAATGTCCTTATTTAAAAAAAAAACAACAAAAAAATCAACGGAATGCCTAATTTCTGTTGTCTTTGTGATGTTTATTCTACTTTCTCATGCCATATAAACTGTTTTCCTTAATTTTGTTGATATTCTTTATCTTAAGCTTAATATAGTTGCTTGGCCCATATATCACTGAATTTTCATATACATCACTTGAGTATTTTTATTTTCTAACTCTTTTTCTCTCATTCTTTCCTCTGCTTTTAACTAGGAATGTTCCAAGAGGGCCAATAATGGGAAATTTACATTGCGGGATCTTTTAGTGGTTCCAATGCAGAGAGTGCTAAAATATCACCTACTGCTCCAGGTATTTTATTTTTTAAATTTAAGGAGACTGAGAACAATACTCTGATTGTTTATAACGGGTGGATTGTAAGAATGAAAAATAAAGGTCTTTAACAGAGGGAGGTGATTGACAATTCTATAGATTTGAGGCTGATTTGTTATGAAATAAAATCCAGTCAAGTGTGGGTTTTTTTACAGTGATCTTTCCTCAGAGCTGAAGCATATCTGGGGAAAAAAGAATAAAACACAATTGTTTCCTCAGTATCTGAACCTTTTATTCTTGGTATATTTAAAATGATTAGTAGTACCAAACCATAATCATGGTACTTTGATACCATGTGAACCATTATCCCCCAAAAGTGGAAGCTGGACCTTACTTACATGATACTTTTAACATGCTTCTTTGCTGTCGTAAATTACAATAAAGCCATATTTATTTTGAAATGCTTCTTGTTATAACCTACAAAGTGTTAGCTTTTGCAGTTAGTACTGTAATAAGGGTAGAAAGTCTTATAAATTTAATTTGATAGCTGTGCCAGGAGACTCATTAGTTCAGCTGCAAAGAAATATATTACTATATTAGACTGTCAGCCCTGCTGATGCTTGTAAAATGTCGTTTTAAAAAGATCTGCTTGTATGTAAAACATAATTTTCACTCTACAGAGCAACATAACATTCTGTGATACTATTTTTTTTTGAAATAGTTCTATGAGTCACCAATATTTTGATAAATGGAAAATTGGAAAAAAAAATGAATGGTACATCTGCTTTTTAAAAAAAACTTATGAGATCCGAGTCATGATTTTATAATCAACCTGTATGTTATGAAAAGATGATATACAATATGTCCCTCTAATGTGCGATACTACAGTATACATCATACAAGAAAGAAATATTTTACAGACTTTCAAAGACAAAAATCCAGTAAATAGTTAGAATTGTAATGCGAAGTATAGGTACTTATTTCCTAGGATTTTAGCAAGTTATTATGTTAGCTTCTCAAATGATAAAGAAGAAATAACCTGTTTTCCCATGAGATTAAACATGGGAAAGTTTTAGCTTTTTTACTTCACAAAAAGCTAAAAAAAAAGGCCTTTATTTTCCTTATGGGAAGTGGCTAAAAAAATTCCTTAAACATTTGCACTTGATATAAATATGTCTTCTGAGTCAGCTTTATCTGAGACGTAATGAGAGGGTACACTTCTTTTAAGCAGCTGCATGGTTTAGCTGAGATTTTATTGCCAGCATACATCCCTCTCTGTGGACAAGTGCATACTTTGGAAGGGATGATGTACTCGAGTGTTTACCTGTGCTTTCAATGTGCACATACAGTAATGATCTGATTGGCAAGTTTAAGTGCTAGACAGAGCAAATTAGCTTCTAATGGTGGTTCACTATCAGCTAAAGTCAGTGTTTAGGCTCTATAGCAATCATTCTTAAACACTTGACAATTGTCTGTTTGCAGTAGTCCCCACTCAGTTATAGGCTGCTCACTATGGTGATGAAAAGGTGAGTTCATGAGTTGTGTTTGCTGGTTTTGGCTTTTCTCTTTTTTTGAGGGGGTGAGGATGAGCAGTGGCAACTTCAGTTTATAAACTGACAGATAGTGAGTGAAAAGTTTTAACTGCTCTGTCCACAGGAGCTGGTAAAGCACACTACTGATCCTATGGAGAAGGCAAATCTAAAACTGGCACTTGATGCAATGAAGGTTAGTATTCATGGCAAAGAATTATTTATGTCTTTGACAGTTAAAATGGTAGCTCAGAACTAATTTTCCTGGAGGAGATAACATTCCTCACGGCAAGCCAAACATGTTTTCACAGGTCACTGTGAGCTTCGTGAGTATGTCAGGGCAAATATATAGTTGAAGGCTTTGCTCAAGTCTGGGAAACAAGCTCAGTAGTTTTCTGAAGTGATGGGTTTATGAAACCGAACCTTCGTGTTTCAGTTTACTTCCACATCATTTTGCTGTCATATAATGAGATGAAAAACAGGTGTTTCAATGAAGTTAGTCTCACTTCCAAAATTTAGGAATGTTTCTACCACTGTAAGTCAATTCTAATCAAGGTCAGTAGTTTCCCAGTGACATGAAGACAGTTATCTTTCTTTACAAGACTTTTTTCTGTCATCTTAATATGATCTCTGTGGCTTTACCTTTGAAAGCAGTAGTGTCTTTCTGGAGGTAGATATCTGTCACTGTATTTTCACCTGCAAATGGTACAAACAAATGCTTTATAGAATTGCTGTACTGCCTTATATATAAGGTAATACATTATGTGTTCCTCTGCACAGCGTCAGAAATGAAGCACAGTTCTGCCTCAGTTGGCTTTATGGCAAGAATTATGACATTCATGTACTGGAGTTGTGAATTTTTTTTTCTACCTTTTGTGGGGAAAAGGGGAAAGAAGCCAATACGGCATAGGTCTTATATCCTTCTGTTGTAATCTGTATGGTCCACAGAAGATGCTGAAGTCAGACTAAGTTAGTTTTGGTCACACAGCTGCCTCATATTATGTGAATGTCTGCCTGTCTTGAATGCCAGGAATACAGACCAGCTCACAAATGAGATTTTCTGGCTTCCTGTTTTTGTCATCCGATTTTGTGCAGTGAATGCAGAGAGATAATCTGCTACCAAGAGACGCCTGAAATAGGATGGCACAGTGTTGCTTCCATCTAGTGACAAGCCGTGCATCCTGGCTCCTGCTAATTGGCCAGGAAAATAACTCTGCTTTTTATTTCCCCCTGCCCCTCTCTTTCTTTCCCATTTGCTGGCTTGCTTAATTGTTTTTGGTAGCTGTTGGACTGAAAATAAAAGACCAATTAAGAAATTTCTTGCCAGAGTGGCTGTGACAGTTATGTGCTGGCTGACAGGACATAACCAGCCAATTGAAAAAAACAAAAAACTACCCCCCTCTGCCCCCAACCAGCAAAACCCCCCAGATATGAATATTACTCCTTAAGGCTGCACTATTGTTTCCCTCCTGATTTGCTGTATCCTCTTAGAATAGTCCCTGCCAGTGTAGTAGAAGTAACTGTGCAGCATCAGTATGTTGCTTCTAAAAACCCTGGTGTGTCTGCTTAAAAATAAAGTATGTTTGGAAAAACTGCTAGCAAAGTGGTACTGTCTCCAAAGACAGAAAATTCTAGCAAGGATTATGCCACTAGATTTCTTCTAGCAGCAAGAAAAGAGGTTATTTAATTTCTACACTAATTCTTTTAAGACTGGCATGAATGTATCCTGCCCAGATTCATTTGGGAAACTAGCATAACGATTGCTGCTATTTTTAGGTTTCGATTAAAAAGGTCTTAGGAAGAAGATGTATCTTTCTCCCACCCTCTGAATTTGTGTCCATATTGAAGTGAAACTGTAAAAGCAAGTTGTGAAGATCAGAATGCCTTTTCCAGCTGCTGCTCCCAGCATCCCTGACCTTACCAATTACCACTCCTGCTCACTCCTCATCTCTAGCCATAAACAGAGAAGACTCAGCAAATTGTCACTATTACTCAAGCATGTTCAGAGCATTTTAAAGGCTTTAGTGAAATGTGTACAGTACATACTCTCATAAAACAGACAATAATGATCTCAACCTGTGACTTCAGGTAGTATATCCCATTAAAAGTCCCTTTTAAAATCTGCTGTGTAATGGCTTCTCTCTGCCATATAACAGTAAGAGCAAGATCCTGCTACTGGGACAGTGGCTTCTTCTCTCCTAATAAGCACCCAGGCTTATGATATGTTTACACCTTACATTCTGCTTTTGAGCTGCCTTGGGTTTTCTACTATATGCTCTATTTACCTTCTGTCTTATTCTCAGATATTGGATGTTGTTTACTGCTTTTTCAGACTATAAGTGTGCTGTGTGAATTAAATTTGTATCTTTAATCTTGAAAATAAGATATTAATGGAATTCAGAAAAAAAACTCTTTTCTACAATTAATTATGTTTCCCTCTTTCTTGCTAATAAATTTGTGTTTCAATACATATGATGGAGAAAGTTGGAACTGTGATTGAAGATATACAGAAACTTTTTTCCTCCTTTATTTAAGCATACAGATTGGTTATTCTTAAACAATAAAGATTTTTTTTTTAAATAACTAAATCTGCAGATAAGTCAGACAAAATTAGAAATAGATTTACCAAATAATGTATTAAAGTGTTCTGTTATGGAAAATTTTTTTTTTTCTTTCCCCCTCCCTTTTACTGCTGATGCTCTAGGACTTGGCTCAATATGTAAATGAAGTGAAGAGAGATAATGAAACACTCCGTGAAATTAGACAGTTTCAACTATCAATAGAGAACTTGGTAATGTGATATTTTTAATTTATATACTTTTAAAAATCACTTTAAAATCAAATACATTGATAGATGTATTTTTTCTCAATTTTGTATGAAGTTACAGTACTCCTGGTGTGATATGTAAGTGTAAGTATGCTTTGCTTGATCTAGAATGACATAAATATTTAAGTACAGAAATCTTCTATTTTGGGGGTCTGGTGTACTTAACTGTATTTGTGTAGTTAAGGGTTTGTATTTGTACAGTGACTTGGGTGTTTTTGTAATGGGAAAAACTCTCATTTGAAGACAAAAGTGGAATGGAGTGATTCTTTATTGGAAAAGATGGTGTTTTCATGCCTGAAATGTCCTTTTTTGGGGTAAAAGGAATGAGTGGTCTAACGTTTGAATGTGTTGTCATCTTGACACTTTTGCTATATTGAATCATGCATATTACTTCTGTTTCAGAATCATTCCCTCTTACAGTATGGAAGACCTCAAGGTGATGGGGAAATAAGGATAACTACGTTAGACAAACGTGCAAGGCAAGACAGGTGATAGCACAACTTATGGTGTTTGTTATTTAAGAAGCCTATTAAATAGCTTTCTTAAGATTTGAGGTCAGCTCAATGATTCTTGAGAGTTCTTTCCATTTCACTGTGCATTCACAGAGCCTATCCACTGTTTACCAAGTGAATTTGCAAAATGATTCATGGGAAGTTAGCTAATATATTATCATCTAAGTCCCTTGCAAGTAGTAAGTCTCTGTCAAAAGTACTTCCAGTGCCTTTTGTTTTGTTATTCAGTAGTTCAGTTGTTCTTCAAAATTTTTAAGTGCCACAGGCAAAGGTGTGTAAAATAAGACTGGATGTTGGCTTTCTGGAGTGTTTTTAACCATCTTTGTATTGTATTTTCGTAGGCATATCTTCTTGTTTGATCTAGCTGTAATTGTTTGCAAACGGAGAGGTGATAATTATGAAATGAAGGAAATAATAGATCTTCAGAAATACAAAATTACAAATAACCCCACTACTGATAAAGAAAATAAGAAGGTAAATATTTGTTGCTAATTAATATAAAAAGTATATTTTTAGCAGCAATTTGAGACATTTTGCAGGAGTTCAGAGTGTATATACAATTTTTTTACAAAGTTATATATTTTAAATGTAAGCTGAAGTGAATATTTAGGGATTTAACTTTGTTTATTTTGATGTAATGAAAACGTTTGAGTAAGTCACTCCTAAGTGAACACAATAATGTGGTCTTACACTTCCCAAAATCAGGGAATTAAGGATCATACAAATGCTTCTTTTTTTTCCTTTTTTTTTTTTCTTTTCCTTTCTTCATAACTGATGATCTTCATATTGCCAATCTTTTCATGCAGTGGTCTTATGGCTTCTACCTCATTCATATCCAAGGTCAAAATGGTTTAGAAGTTTATTGCAAAACTAAAGATTTGAAGAAAAAATGGCTTGAACAATTTCAGATGGCTCTGTAAGTATATTTTTATTAAGGTAGAATCACATTCATCACCAGTGTGAGGATATCACTTAAATTATGATGAACTGTTTTCATGTTTATATTTTAATACAGCCCAGTAATCTATTTTATTTGATTTTCTGAGAAGCAACTGACTGACATCTTTATGAACAGAGTATTTCCCTGAAGCTCCTCTTGGAAAAGAAAGAGGGCACTCTAGGCTGAGTATTAATTTTCAACTTTGCTGCTAAGACTGTTTTAGTAATACTGTCTTAAGCAACTAAGAGGAAATATTAATTATTTTAGCACTAAATATCTAAGTTAATAGCGACATTTTTTCCCTTCCCGTTTTTATTTTGATTAATTTTAATATATTTTTTGAAAGGGGATGCTGATGATTTCAGAGCAGATCCTGGCATCTTTCCTAGTGGCTTGTAACTAATTTATTCTTTAATATTTGGATCAAGTTGCTTGATATTTTTTTTTATTACTAAATTTAGTTGCAAAAGTCTCATTTCCTTTATATGTTTTCAACTAAAAGAGGAGGTTGCTTTAGACTTCTTCCAGCACTGCAGATTACATTATTGTTATGCAGCATGAGCTTTATTTCCATTTCTGATTCTTGTCAGAAAGACAAACATGATTATTGACACCTCAGGTATTCTGATTAAATTTAAAACCTGTGAAGGAGGGAATTGGATGACAGGGCGATGCTTGCTTTATGGTTAACAAAAAAAAAGTGTGAGGAGGAGTGAGATACTCCCTGTGAAAACAGACACACAGCATTAATAAAGATTGTTTTGGATGTGATTGTAAAGGTATGTGGATTTGGAAAAAGGCTATTACGAGCTGGAAACTTGCTCATAAACTATATAACTTTTTTAAAAAACCTTAGTATGATGAGTGCTAATGATTTAAATGAAAACATAATGGAGGAGAGCCTGAGCTGGGCAGATACTATAAGGTGTGCTTCCCATCTTGCTGATTTTTATTGATGGAAAAAATGACATGCATTTGCAAAATTTTTTGGTTAGCAGAGTGGGAGATGGGAAGAGGTTTTTGTTAGTAGGTGGGCAGAAAGCTGAGTACTTTGCCTTTTTCTGTCTTTGTGCTCTTTTTGCTGCACTTCCTGTAATGTCATTATTAATATCTACTTAAACACAGATAAAACATGTATGAAAAACATGAGGAACTCTGATTTATGAGCTTTAGTATGGCAACTATTGATCACTCTTCAGGTGTCTTGGCCCAGTGCACAAAAAAACTAACCAACCCAAACAAAAGCCAGCCAAGGAGCTAAGGAGCAGTAAGAGAGCTATGTTTTTTTTCCCAGAAGTGTATCCTCAGTTCTTCTGAAACGTTTTGATGGTTCCATGCAGGAACCCCACCACTGTGTGTGTGGTGAGCGACTGCAGCTGCATATCTTTACACGGTGTTAAGCACCAGCCAGCGCTTGTGAGCTGTTCATGCGTGTGCCTTTGTGAACAATGGTCTGCTGCTGCTGGTTGCCATACATGAGGAGAACAAATAGCATCTGAAGGGTTGACAAGTTAATGTGCTACTCTTTCCTCTTAGGCAGATGGAGCTGGTCGCTGAAAATGAGAGTGGGGGTGTCAGCCATGTCTTGCGTGGATGTTTTTCCTTCTTGTAAACCCATACCTCTAGTTTAACCTCTTCCTGTGTGATTAAAGGCTGTAACACAGAGGCATGAGAAATGGAGCAGCAGGGTTGCTGCAGGTCAGGGCTGAGGTGCAACGTGATAGTGGCATTATATACATTGGGCAATGCTTTTGCTCCATTATATTTATAAGCACTGGAATGATTGAAAACCAAGACGCTTTATGCTTTCTAAAGTTTTTATCTCTCTCCCCCAGCTCCATTACATGGATTTGACTTCATAGCATGTTTCCCTCAGCAGCTCTCCTAAAACATGCCTCGGTGTACGTAGCAATAATTATATTTTGATATGTGCTGAGGCATAAGAGTTTGTATTTGGGAATAAACCAAGCCAAGTGTTTTGAACAATGAGTTGGTTGGTTTGATTTGTTGTTTTCAGGAGGGATCTCATTGCCTAGTGTGTAGATTATCTGATTCTACTCTGAAAAGTAGCCATGATTGAAATTATAGTATTATTCATCACAGTCAATTATAATTGCTGCTTTTATGGGCAAAATACTTCTCATTACTTAAAAGTTTTACTGAGATTGCAGAAACAGCACAGTTGAAGGGGTGAATTACATTCTTTTTTGATGGTCAGAAATTATGTTGTTTACTGAGTTCCAGACAGAAATTTCGATGCAGTTTTGTTGTCTTCAGGATAGCATTCTGTATGAAGTCAGATCTGTGCAAGTGTTAATCGAAGAACATAACAAGAGAACAAATTAGGATCTCTCATTTTTAAATTGAGAATTAACCTTGTTGCCATTAGAGCAGTTTATTGGCATAACTATGTTAGCTAGACTGAATTTTTTTATTTTTTAGGAGCTTAAATTTTTATACCAGTGTATGAACAAGGGTGATTATAGTTATATTGCTGAAAAGGTATGTACTGTTGAGCTGCTGGTGTAATTGAGATGAGAATTTGTCTCGATGTATGGGAAGCTTAGGTTACTGATGTAGTATGAAATAAAGAACATTACTTTCCTTTCTGGACTTGGATTAGGTTTGGAGGGCAAGAATATATTAGGCACACTTGATATGGAAAATCTTTAAAGGAAGGAAGGATGAAATCCTAGTGCAATTTCCTGAGTGTTACTTTTCAGACTAGTAAGTTTGTTAGAAAATAGCTTCACAAACTTGTGAAAATATTCTACCTCTTGGTCAGCTCTGTTACTGTGGTATAAGGTGAGTTGTTTTGTTGTGAGGGAGCTTGTGAATGGTGAGTTACTGGTCATAAAAACCTGAGTAAATTGCTTTTATTCATGTCGGTTCTGTTGCTGTTTTACTGAGACTATTGCTTTATTTAGAGAATATATGATACCAAAACACCTCAATTTTAATTTTTCCTAAGAAATTCACATGGGTTATTTATTGATGAAGCCTGTTCATACACTTCATCCTCAGCAGCAATGATTCAGTGTGGCACAGCTGCACTGAATTTGATACTTATTGACCTATTCACAGTAATCTCCACAGTTGAGGCTGGGTCACCTCCTTTCCTTCTTCCTCCCCCCCACTTTAAAAAAAAAAGTTTATTGTCTACAACCTTCAAAATTGCTGGTTATTTGGGAGCTCTGGATTTTCTAGATGGCAATAAATGAAGTAGAACACTGGGGCAGCACAGTTAACATTGCAGTCAAGCTCCTCAAGCTGGAACTTTGGTTGGACTCATAAATCTGATGAATTTGAGAGGTTTTTGTAAAGCTAGCAGGCAGAGACCAGTGGAGGGTGTTTTAACAGGAGCCACCATATCACAGATGGCTGAGTTCTTAGTGTGCCTGTTTCCTTGCTGATGTGAATGGCTGTTCTGCATACATAGGGGGAACGTAACTGCTTAATGTCTCAAAAGAGATGTGCTGCTTAACAGTGATTGTGGTTTATATGAGCAGTTGCTATTTTGTTCTTGGAACTCTATGCATAGTAATGGTTGAGTGTATAGCTGTATGGGTAAATAAGCACCTGTTTTAAAAGATAGTACTACAAAGGTTTTATTTGATGTGGAATGTTTAAATTTAATCTATCATGTCAAGTAGCATTTGTTTAAATGGTAAGTCATTCCATATCCAAGATAGTATTAATAAAGTGTACAGTCAGATTACTGCACCAAATTACTCAGCAAAATCAGAGACATCATATATTAAGTGAAATTTTGTCAGCAGTGATAAAGTGTATTGTTTATTGCTGTAAGCCATTAAAAATCTCAAAAACTGATTGTGTGAGACACAGTTCTGTTAGGTTTTCTAGTAGCATATCCTGTCTGATCTCTTTTCTCCTGTATTAAAAACAACCAGAAGAATCGGAACAAATCTGTAATGCCTCGTAATATACTTACAAATTACATAAAGTATTTGATACTTTCATGTTATTCAGCTTATGCTAAAAGGTAGGAGCATGGATTGGTATTTCCTGCCCCCACCAGAAAGCTCTCCTACTCATGCTTTTCTTATTTTAAAAATGCTTGTTTTTAAAAATAGTTGACTAATACATGTGTCAATGAGTTTATGCCATTAGAGCAGTTTATTGGCGTAACTACCACTTATTAAAAGAAAAAACTTGAAAGTTGAAGGACATTGTACTTCTCTATTATGTGTCAATGAGTTTATGCTAACCACTTATTAAAAGAAAAAACTCCTTGAAAGTTGAAGGACATTGTACTTCTCTATCATATGCATGTATGTACCTCAGTTATATTACTTTGGAACTACTTAGCTGACTAATTATCAGGCTTAATTTCTTATTATGTGGTAACTGCTTTTCTCGTCATTGCTCTGATGAATTTAATTCTGTTTTGTTTCATCATAAGGTAATAGAATAAATACTGAATGAAAATGTTGATTATTACTACAGCTGTGTCATGTTGACACTAAACTTTTGCTTCCATCCACTAAATATTTCTTTGTGTAGTTTGTTTCTTGATCACAGTAGAGCATGGAGAAAGTGTGTTCTGTCTTTCCTCACAAGGGACCAGACCTTTTCCATGAAAGGCCACATGTTGTATTTTCCCACTGGCTTAAGAGCTGAATCCATTAGTGTAATACGGCATGCAATATCTTATGCTGATCTGTGCTGAATTTATTTTCTTAGAATGATGTCCAGTTTGCTAATTTAATTAAGACTTTCTCTGGTTTCTCAATTGTGCTTGTAATACACTATAATCAGGAGACTTGGCTTCGGTATATGTTCCTAGATAGGAGAATCTTGCACAGAAATACAATTTAAAATGCAATCACAGGAGAATTTAGGTTGGAAGGGATGTGTGGAGACTGTATACTGAAGGTCTTAAGTAGCTCAAGGCCTTGTCAGCTTGAGTTTAGTACTGCTGTATTTCAAGATGCACAGAACTAATATTGCAAAGT